CGACAACGTCTGACCGATCGATCTATGAATCCTTCGTCATCCATGGTGCATCGAGATCTGAGGCTGCCATGCTGCGCCTCTCCACTCGTGGATCGAGCGATATGATCCGATCCAGTATTATTATCAGTTAGTTCTTTTTTGAGGTTTTCCTTGTTGATTTCACGAATGTATGTATGTATGCTGCTACCTACGTATATGCATTACTACCTATGGTGTGTGTCTGGTGAGCGAGCAGACGGCGGCAGGTCATTACGACTTTGATGACGAACTGCCTTTTAATTCGTAGTACAATACTACGTACGTAGCTAAGATTGTTTGGAACGAGCATGCATATATGCATGATCGTCAGTGTGTACGTCAATATTAATTGATTGGTGTGTTCAAAGAGTCGCCATGTGTGTTGATGTTTGGTATGTATGGTATGTCCAACAGAGTTCAGCTTCACTGACGGAACAGCCTTCTTCATTGTCGGACTATTTCCGTCTCTCTCCACTCCAAAATATAAAGCATATATATTCAACTTGGTGTGATCTTCAAGATCACACTTTGACAACTAATTTCTCTCATAATATATAGTTTATGGCAACAAAGTTTGATCATCAGAAGGTATCTCTAAATACGACTTCAAAATGCTCGAAGATAACAAAGTTTGTATATTAAAATAAGTGCACATTTTTCCTCGAAGAGAAGGGAGAACTGTATTAAAACTCATAACAGTACGTTTCCCAACTACACAAGAAAAAAATCTAAAATAAAAAAGATAATATTTTATCCAGATTTTTCCATCGTCTTCTTCCCCCATTCCTTTACTTGATGCGGAACATAGCCTTGTTGGACACCAAAGCCAAACTGTAGTCCTTATGCTGAATCTAACGATCAACCTCAAAATATTGGATATGTTGCACGATTCAACGTTCCGGAATCAGTACAAATCGCATCTAAAATGATGAAAGAACATCGACGGTACAACATAGGCTGAAGATTCACCATCTCAACCCTTGATTCTTCATGTATGTCTGATTTTCTCTCCGCGACTATCGATGATGAGATCAATGAACTGGAGTTCCTATCCTCAGGAGGAGTTCCCAGGAGCACCCCTCCCCTTGCATATAATGGCCATAAATGGAGCTCATGCCGATGAAATCGACGACTGCAACAATGACCTCGTCATGGCAATCGCCAAAGTCGGTCCTAATAAAAAATCATCTGATTTCGTCAGTAGATTTATTTGGACTAAACTCTAAGTAAACTAGATCTGAAAATTGTTGTAAAAGAGAGTTGAGTGTCTCCCTTCTTACCACTGACAGACTCACTGGAAAGGAAGAAGGAGAGGGATCCAAGACGACGGAGCGGCGGCACGCGGAAACGGTGTCCAACGGGACTCAACTACATGCACATCTTATGTTTTAAGACAGAGAGAGATAGTATATATGAACATATCCTTGCTGGATGGAAAATTAGTAGGAGTAAGAGCATTCAGAACATATCCTTGCTGGATGGAAAATTAGTAGAAGTTGGCTTCACACCTCTCACAAAATCCATTAGCAAGGGATGGATGCAGCACCCAGCCATCTAGCATGGCAATGGCATGAGCGTCGAAGATACAAGGGCAGGAGGCGGCTCCATCTGAAGATGAAGCAGGGAAGTGGTGGAATGCAATAAGCTCCGAGCCATGCTGAGGTTTTCTCGGCTGGGCCCAAGTGACAAATGGGACACGATTTGTTTTTGAACACAAATATATGTTTGGAATGGGCCACGATTCGGTTGCAAGTTTACCACGACTAGCGGAGATGCACGTACGGACACGCACGTATTTTTTTTAAATATCTTTTATAGTGAAGGTGTATTAAAGAAGTTGTAAGAAATCAATTCTTATATTTGAGCTTATAGTTCTGGATTGAACCTAGCATGTTAATAATTCTTTTAGAAAGTTTGTGTGAAAAACAAAGTTCCATATCTATAATGTAAATAAGGTCCAATTTAGTTGGAAAACCAGGGAATATTTTACATTTTAAAAACACATTTATATTATCAATTAATCATATCAATATTTATGTACAAACATCGAAGTGTAACCCTATATTGCTTTTAATTTGAAAAACATGCTGTATGTGTATTAATCAAATTATTATTTAATGTAAAATTCAGAAATATGTGTGGCATGTTAGAGAATCAGCGTAGCTGCTAATATGTATCTCACGTTAGCAAAAGTACACAACAGGAAGAACGGATCGAGTCAGAGCTAGATCAGAAAAACAACTTGGGATTAAAGATGCTAAGACTGGACTACAAGAATCTGTATTTGTACGGAAAGACTTAATGAACGGATAGAAAGTTACGTACGTAGTTTCTCCACATGATCTCTGCTCACGTGTACGTACCTCTGCTGACCAAAGATGAATTGGGCGCCCTGCATCTCCTGACGACATGCCGCTCGGCCGGCCTGCTACACCCACAAGGATGGTCGGCATTGAGTGATAACAATTGTCTTTTTTTTTGCGACGTAACGAAGCTCCTCGCTGTGACGGGTAGGACGTGCATGGATGGTCAAGCGGACAAGGTTGATCGGATCAACATGCATAGGGTAGTCGGACGAATATCTCGTGCAAATTAAGATCACGGGAACACACATAGGTGAGCGAGTTGACATATGAGAGTTATTAGAGGAGACAGATCGATGGATAAAGGCTCACCCGGCGTCAGACGCGGAAGACATTTGACGAAGAGCAGAGTCGGTCATGGAGAAGATGACCACACGACATGGCCTTCCCGTGATGTGGCGAATTCCCGGCAAGGGTTAGACAACGGCCATCAGCAGCGTGCGAAGTCTTGAGACGGTGGTGGTTTTCTCCATCAGCCTCTCCTCACCGGCGGCGACGGCAATGGAAGTACCTGGACCGGTTGAACTTGTGGCATCGACTTTGTTACGCAGCTAGGGCATGGAATACTGGATTTATCTTACAGAAGGGCAACAGAAACGGCGGCCTTGAGGATGATTGATGATATTATATATATTAAGAAACTCGGCAAGGTTGACTTGTCAAGTATTTTCTCTGATGGCTTTCTTTTCTTTTTCTTTTACGTGTGAACCAAGGATCATGTACCTGGCCGGGAGGGAGTCGAGCTGCCGTTGCGTAGGCGTACGTGACTGAGGGACTGGAGTCATGGGATTGAGGGGGGCGTGAGGTGACGTAAGATCTCGGACGACAGAAAACTCATATGACATAGCATCTAGATTGAACGGTTATTAATGAAGAAGAGTAAGATCTTGGACGACGAAAGACTCATATGAAACGATGTCAAGATTAAACGGTTATAAAAGAGGGATAGCCCCCCCACACACACAAAAACTCACTCTTTTTATAGTGTGACGATGATGATACATATACCAATATAGGCGGAAAAAGTCCACACATTACCTCTCTTAACTTTTACGAAAGTCTGTTTTTCCTCCATAAACTCTAAAACCGGGTAAACCACCTCCCTGAACTTTTAAAACCATTTGTTTTACCTCTCTGGCCGGTTATAAGCGGTTTTCAAAGATGATTTTGTCTTTTCTTTTTATTTGTTTTGGCTGAATCTTTGAAAAATCATAGTAAATCACAGAAAAATCATAAAATAAAAAATCCAATTTTGTTAGACTCCACATAAGTAGATCTACACAGTGAATATATAATATGGTATGTTTTAATACAATTTTTTTGCCGTAGATTTAGATCTATATTTTTCTATAATTAATTCATAGCTGCAGTTTCTATGTTCAAATTGTGGTGAAATTTTTATTGTGGGCTAATTATTGTATGCTCAAGCTGTAGTAAAATTTGATCCAATAAGTATGAAATTTTTACTACAGTTCAAGAATACAATAATTAGCATTCCATAAAAATTTCACCACAATTGGACCATAGAAATTATAGCTATGAATTAATTATAAAAAATCATAGATCTAAAGCTACAACAAAAAATTGTACTAAAGCATACCATATTACATGTTCACTGTATAGATCTACTCACGTGGAATCCACTGGAAATTGGATTTTCCATTTTATGATTTTTATATGTAAATTAAGGATTATTAGTATATCATATTATTACTTAGTAATTATGATGTCAAGATTAATTTAGATAAGTGCTAATACATTGATTAGTGCACATTTTGTGTGCCAATTAGGGTAGTAGTAGTAATGGTGCTAATTAACATATTATATTTTTATTAGTGATTACCATAGTTGCAAAATTAAGTGTTAGTGTATAACTAGATTTATTATTTTTAAATGGTATATATGATTAGCCAACTATTCCATCTCATCCAAACTGAGAAATGGGTCATCTCATTCTTTCAACCAAGCAGGCGATATGGATAAGGCACTGTTTGGACCGTGTTTAAGGAAGGCAATGGGGTGGATTCGGATCGGGTGGAATCTCCGTGCACTCAAAACCGAAACCCAAACTTAAAACCTAAATCCGCCCCGAACAACAATTCAGGTGAAAATGCATCCCCGAAATCAAACCCGACGGAATACCCGAAACCTGATGGATCATCCAAAATCCAAAAAAAAATTCAAAAAAAAACAGCAAAGACAGCATAACAGTACATGAAAGTACTACTGTACTAGCAGCTACAGAACATAAAAAGTAACAAAAACAACAAAGCAGCTTGCAAATGAATATAGATACATTATTCCAAGATACAAGATTATACAAAAGTACAAGTACTAGCAGCAACAGAACATGAGAATATGTCCAGACCATGCTGTCCATGCAGAACCAGAACATGATGCAGGACTAGTCCAGATTCCAGAATGCACATAGAGTTGAGATTTTACAAATAAGAGCAACACCACACAGGGAAAAGCACTTAGTTCAATACAAGTGCAAAACAGCACAAGTCAACATCCATAGTCCTCCAAACAAATAACATTATTACAGAGAGGAGTTTTCTGGATCAAATAGGTAGGCAATTGGAGGCATGAGGCATTCATCTTCGCTTGATGAGTTCATCATTCATCAATTATGCTGAAATCATCTTCATCCTGTGAAATAAAAATAGAGAGAATAGCTTATTACTTGAATGTTGAACGCATTGTAAATTCACAAGTTAAATACAAAAGCAAACAACAGCAATACCATTTCTTCATCTTTTTCATCAAGACAGGTCATCAAAGCACCAACAAAAGTGATATAGTATTCACAAATTAGTATTATAACTTATACAAAATGAAGAACACATACTTATAGAAAAGACACTTACCTAACATGTCGGCATGAGACCATGCTTGCATACACATAAGTGCTTCTATCATTGATGATGCAAGCCTACTACGATGTGGACTAATTATTCTCCCATTGGTACTAAAGACTGACTCGGATGTCACCATTGTCACAGGAATAGCAAGGACATCACGTGCAATTTTTCGTAACGTTGGGTATTTGAGCCCTGCATGTTGCCACCACTGAATGATATCCAACTCTTGTGTCCTAGGCAGCAGTGGTTCTTCCAAGTACAAATCTAACTCTCTTCGCACATAAGTGGAGGTCACGGCCGGCTGTTTGGACATGTAATCATCAAAAGTGTCCATCCAATCTTCATTGTCCATAGTAGGAGCACTTGGTCTAGTTTGAGCACCATCTGTTGTGGCAACAGCCTCCATAGAATCCTGGTATTCCAAAACCAGATTGTATAACAAGTCTTTGACTTTATTGACAGCTTCCATAGCTACACTTTCTAACCCATGAATTTTGAGGAAAAGAGCATTCAACAGTTGTAATTTATACCTAGGATCTAGGACAGCAGCAACAGCCATCAAACCATGCACATCTGACCAATACTCGTTGAATTTCTCTTTCATTTTAATAGACATTTCTTCTACCTTAGGAATATCACTGCTTTGCCACTTCCTAATAGCCAAAAGAATGTTGCATATTTTGGGGAAGAAAATGTTGGCTGTGACATATTTAGTGCCTGACAGTAGTTCAGTTACATCATAGAACACCTTTAACCTATCACAAAGCTCTCTAGCAAACTTTCAATCATCTTCAGTTGGAACAGATGGAGCATGAGAAGCAAGGTGCTCAAAAACATCTTGGTATATTAGTGCAGTGCTAAGCATAATATAAGTGGAGTTCCATCTAGTTTTACAATCAAGAGCAATTCTTTTTTCATATTTTCCTTTCATTTGTGCAGCCATTTTCTCAAACTTCTCGTCTTTTAAGAGTGGCCGACCAGTATGCAACACTATCACGCACACTCTCAATTCCCTTCTCCATGACACTCATTCCATCTTGCACAATCAGATTTAAAATATGTGCAGCACAACGCATCCCTTCTCTAGGAAACTTGCCTTCCATAGCAGCCTTGTTCTTTGCAAGGTCATCACCAGCGGTGCCAATCATATTCTTCATGAGGTTGTCATTGACACTATAGTTGTCAAGAGTTATAGTGGACAAATTCCTCTCAATATGCCAATCTAGGAGAACTTCATGAAGAACATCAGTTATAACCTTTGTTGTATGTAGTGCTGGAACATAAATAAACCTACAACAATAAAATATCATAAGTAATACAGAATGAATAATACAAAATAAACTTATAGACATGCTGCGATTTATTGTTACCTAATAAGAAAACTTTTTAACTTCCAATCATCATCTAGAAAATAAGCTGTAACTGCCATGTAATGTTTCCTCTGATGGTTTGCTGTCCACGATTCCGTAGTAACAGCAACACGAGAACTCAATTTCTTGATATAATTCACCATAGTTTGCTTCTGCACTTGATACATATCCAAGATAATCTTCCTAATTGTGTTTCTAGACATTACCTTGAATGCTGGCTGCAATGCAGCACAAAAATTTTGAAATCCAACATGGTCCACCATGGAAAGAGGATACTCATAGACAATAATCATTAGGGCAAGTTCTTTCCTAGCGACATCTTGATCAAATACGTAATTCTCGAATGTGATTGTATCATCTTGTGGGTTTGCAGATAATTTAAGAGTGGATTGCTCTAAACCTTTTCTAGTAGCTCTATCCTGACATACTGCAAGGTGATTCTTCAAGTGAGTTGTACCATTTCTTGTTTCCCCACCTAAATGTTCTTTACACCAATGGCATTTTGCTTCCCAAATCCCATTTACATTAATCAAATCAAACTCCTTCCAAACTTCAGATCTTAGCTTCCTCTTACTACCAAGAGGAACATCATCTTTTACCTCTAACACATCAGTACTACCTACAGTTCTAGAATCGGATGGCGGTGCAGATGAATCGGATGGCGGTGTCACTGAACTGGCAGCAACACGTGCACGAGTCTGAGGACGAGAACACACAGATTGAGATGCAGCAGCAGCAGCTTGAGATCCACTAGAACCACCAGGAGTCGACATTGCTCACTTCCTGAGTTAGGAATCCTGACAAATGCAACCAAAAAAAAGACAAAGACAAACACATACATAGGATGAGTCTCTGTACTGTCTGGCACTTAGATGATGCATGAAATTGGACACCCAGGGAAGGGATGCGCCACCATATTACCGTACTGCATTGCTGCTAAGTTAAATTGCCACCGGCGTCGTGCATCATAGTTTTTACTGCGGGCGGCGATGGTGGTGCGACCCACCACCTTCTTCACACCTTTACAAAGATCTATGGCGCGGCTGCGTGGCGGCGCCATACACACATCGGCGTATGATACATATTATATAGTCTAGGATATTAGGAAATTATATTGACAAATGGTAATGCAAATGTAGCTTAAAAGGTATAGTCTACAATATTAGCAAATCAAAATAGCAATGTAAATGTAGCACAAAAGACATAGAACTCTCTCATCTCTCAAACTTCCAAATCTCTCATCTCTCAAAAGTCATCCCATGCATCCAAACTCAACCGCCTCGAATCGTCAGCACAGCCCTAGCTAGCCCACGCCAAATTTCACTACCATCACCAATATATAAACGAAATCGAAACCCTAGAGACTCCTCTCTCTCCTCTCCTCACTCTGCTCTCCATAGCGACGGCGCCCCAGCGCGACTCCCTCTCCTCCGAGCGATCGCATCGAAAGCACGACTCCTCTCCCCCTCTCCCCGACGACGACGACTTGCAGATCACGCCCTCTCCCTCCCCCCGCACCTCCTCTCTCCCACCTCGATCACGCCCCTCCGACCGAGCTAGCTCCCTCTTCTCCCTCTCGGACCGGTGGCATCGGCGCGTGTGGAGGCCAGATCCGGCGGCGGGCGAGGCCAGATCTGCTCACCGCCTCTCTCTCCTCCCCCGCAAGCGATCCGTGGCCGCAGGGCGGCCCAGGCGCAACTGTCTGTGCAGCAACAGAGAACCCTCCACCGATGGCGGGCTCATGGTGTTCTTCCACGACGACGGCTAGCTGGTCGCGAGCACGAGGGCGGGCGGGCGGCCGATCGGATTAAAACCTTCGCCGCCGGCGGCGGCAAGCGGCGTCAAGGGTCGCTTAAGGTTTTGCGTCTCGGGCTCGGGCTCGGAGGGCTCCAATCGCCACTCGGCCTATATGAGTACCCTCACGGCCTCACCTCACCCTCACCGTCTTATTGCGCCGCCACACAAAGAAGCATAAAGCGCCACAGACGCCAAATCGGCGCCACGGGGGCGCCACGGCGCTATGGCGACGCCATACACGCCGAGCCGTGGCGTCGCCGCATGCGAGAGCGTAAAAACGCCACGCCGATATATGATGACGATATGGCGTCGGATAGCGACGCTTTAACAACTATGGTCGTACTCGCCGCCACCGTACCTTACCGCCTCGCGGCTCCTCCCCCTTGTGTGCGCGCCGACGAAGCGCCCATGACCCTCTTCGCCGCCGCCGCCACACATCGCCCTGCTACTGGGTGGGGCGGCGGCGCTGCGGCAACCTCTGCGGTCTTTGCCTTATGGGCGGCGGCGCGCATTAAAAGTTAAGATCTTTATATGCAAGCGGCAAAGGCGCCGAGGCGGCCGTCGGTGGGTGCCTGGGTGGGGTCGAGCCTCGAGCACGGAGCACCGTGAGGTGAGCACGGATCCACACCAAGAGGAAGAGGTCGAGGGCTCGACCGCTCGAGGCGTCCCTGCGCCGTGCGCCCGACTGCGGACTGCCCGAGCCGGCGGCCGTCGGGTATGGGGGTGACCGCCCGCGTAAGGGTCCTGAGGGAGAGGGATTGAGGATTTCAGGCTTATTGTTAATGGGCTACTAGTGGGCTGAACTATTTCGGGGCCCAATGGTGATCCGCCGGCGAAACTGAAAAACAGCCCATACCCACTAACTTTCGGTGAAACGAAAGGCCTTCCCTCCCGTCTCGACTTGAGGCGAGCGACCCAGCCAACGCACCAGAAACAACCGTCTCCTTCGCCGCTGGCGTCCTCGCCCTCCACACCACCCGTCGCCCACGCCAGTGGCAGGACCGCAGGATCCAGAACCACAGCACAGCAGCCTCACTCCCTGTCCTACTGAGTTCTTAAATCCTGGTATGTACTGCATGTTCCAACCTCGTCCTCATCCTCTTCGTTTGTCTGTCTGTGCCTCTGTGGCCTCTTTCTCCTGCAACATTGAAAATATCTATAGCATTGCATTGCTGCCATATCACAACACGCATCAGCAGAACCAAACCGAAGGCCAAGAAAATGCTCAATTGATTCTTCAGTTCAGTTCAGTTTTCATTTCTCACTCAAGACCTCACTGTGTCAGTTGTGCAACTCTTTGCCATCTACAACTGGAAGCAAGCACATAGAGCTGAACACACACAAAGGATACCACGCGATACCACAGGCACAAGAATACTTACCGCCTGTTTCTTCCCTCCCTTGGTGCTTATGCGTCAGACGGCAACACACAACATACATATATACTCTGAATCAAAAGACAGGGAAATTAAACAAGCACAAGTTCGCCTCATGTGGTGCCACATACTATCATTTCACGTTCAGACTTCAGAAACATGCCACTGAGGATCAAATAATTCAGAGCCAAACACAGGTTGTGTTACTCCTTCACGGTTCCACAAGTACATGTACATCTGAAGTTGCCGGAGGGCACGTGGCTCTCCATGGCATAGCAGCATTATCAGATCAGATCCATTGCCCACAGATGCATCATGCATACATTACACCCAAACAGAACCTGGGCCATTCCCATTCGATCCCTCTCAAGGAAGGAAGGATAAATCCACTGAGATAAGTGCCCAGTCAGTTCAAAGGGGGGTACAAGTAACCATGCTACCATCCCGTCTATATAAGAGTCCCTCCAGAACCCCACAAAGAGGACAGTCAGTAACAACCACCTATCCGTGACTGAAAAGGTCAAGTGCCCACTATGCCACCATCCAGCATTACTACAAGTAAAATGACTAGTGTCCCACATAAGAACAAGTAGCAGCATTATGATTTGCCTTTAGGGATTCACTTCAGCTCAATGCAGCAAGGTCAAGAACGACAGCAGGCCAAGTGTCCCACATAAGAACAAAAGCAAAGGCATTTCCCACTTTTCACTCAGATCCGCATCTGTATGTACTGCCCAATCAAAGGTCCTTTCAAGTGGTCCAGGAATAATGTGATACTGTATGTAGTACTATCAAGGTTTCACCAAGCTCTCGTGAAAGGATAGATATTTGGCCATGTTACAACCTTACAAGAAGAATCGATCCAGATATTCAGTGATGTATTTATTGTGGCATGGTCCAGCACTGCCTAGCATAGTACTAACATTTTCAGTTTGCTTTATGGTTGGGTTGCATTCTGAAAAGGATAACTTGTTTTCTGTTTGCTTGATATTTGAAAAACAGCAAATAATATATCAGGTTGGTAAACAACCCATGCTTAATAGCAGGCCTTTTTAAGCAAGATGAACTATTCTCTTCTTCAAGGTGTGAGAAAATGTTGACTATCACATTCACACAGTTTACAAAATCAATACCTTTGAACCTACTCCAAAAGCTATGCCACACACGCACACCAAATTCCAACAAATGTCGCTCTCAGCAAAATGGAATAAAAAGAAAAAAAACTTATGTAACACGGCCCCTTACAGTGATTCATTGCTGTCATCACTCTCTTCACACAAAGGCGCAGATTGGATTATAACCCGAGCTCCAGAAGGAAGCCTGCAGTTTTGAAACGGTCTATTTTGTCAGTATCCAGAAACAAAACCAGTAGATGGACGTATGAGAACAGTGAGAGGCAACTCAACTTTCTTCGATCTTGATCACGTCCTTGTCCTCGTGGAATGACTCTACTCTCGCAGAAGATAGTTTACCCAGTGATGGATCAGTCATCCTATTGCTTGCACTCTTTGATGAACCCAGTGGCGAGGATCTAGTGCTATATTCTTGTTGACTAGAGCTGTTTCTCACATCAGAGGCAGGGGAGAGTATTGTTCCAGATCTCGATTGCTTACATGATATGATTCTGATAGTCTGGGGAAGACACCTGAAACTACCTGACTCGCAAGAGCTTTCTGTATCACTTTTGGAATGTGCTGCTCTATAAACTCTGAAAAATGTTCAAAGGAAGCACTGGGTCAAAAGTCAGTACACCCAGCGTTACCAACAAAGTCTGCAAACTTCTAGATTGGACAGAATTTAGTGACACATTGCACATATCATGTTCAGTTTGACACGTAAAGTAACAGCGCAAAATAATTAGACCAATTTTCTTCAAGCATCTTATTGTTGGAGTCTCTTATCTTCTATATCTCTAGTCTAAGATACTATCATAACATAGAATGAAGACATAAGAAATTGACTTGAGCTTTTAGCACCCAATATTAATGCAAGTATGCAACTAGTTAGCACCCAACATTAAGTGTGACTAACGAATATGACTTCAGATATGGAATGACAAATAATACAGCAACTACTGATCAGAAGATAATGAGGCGTCATAGGCTACACTAGGTGTGAACAAGCTAGTTTTCCCCAAACAAGTTGAAACCATCCAAGCAAACATGCTAAGCAATCTAGCCACCCTCCTCACCAGGGATTAAGCAAATTAACAGTGTGGGAACACCCCAAGGGGCCCCTACACTATCATGATAAAATCACGCATCATTCTTACTGGCACCATAGTCCAAGATTAGAAGCTCAGAATAATCTGTGGTAGTATTGTATACTGTACCTATCCTCATCATAAGATGATGAGCGTTTGAGTGAGCTGATTCCTCTCCCAGACTCGTCCTGCTTCTTGGTCTCAACCAAGCTCCCACTGAAACATTCAGACTCTGGAGCTCTCAACCCAACTGTTCTTGTATTACAAGGGATTTTGTCAAGGTGTCGCAATGCCACAGGAGTGGAGAACACTGCAGAAGGGAACTCAACCTGTGTAAACCGAGGCCTGTACGATGGGATGAACCCAAAGCCTCGGTGTTCTTTCACAGATATAGACCCACAAGTGATGATCTGCATTAGCAAATTGGCTGGCTTCAGTTTCACACCCATTGGGCCAAGCATGTGTTCCTCCTCTAGCGTCCTAAAGCTACTCCTCCTACTGGCTTCCGCTCGTATCAGGGACTCCAAGGTCTCAACTCTGCCACCAGGCGAAGCATCAGAGGAACACACGACCGGCGACTCCTGAACGATCTCAGGTGCCTTCGGTGACAGCATCGAGCTCCTCTGATGACATTCCTGAATCTCAGCATCTGACGCCGTATCCATGGACACTCCCGCCACGCGAGAATGGTGTTCAGCAACATCCCTCTCGCTATCATCTGTTTGTGTGGCCGCATCCTGAGCTCCGATGGGTCTGCAGACCCTGTACTCCGAAGGTCCTGGGGAGCTTGCCTCTGACAGTGGAGCGTTTCTCCCTGCAGGTTCAGGGGACTGGTTGCCGGACGAGCCTGAATGCGCGGTCCGGCACAGCTCATCCTCGTGGTTGGTGGAAGCCGACGGCGACGGCAGCGCTGTTGATTGCGTCTGCTGCTGTGGCCGTGGAGTGGCAGGCGGAAGTGAGATCTCCTTGCCAGCGGCGGACGGCGACGACGACGACGAGCATCCTTCCTGCGAGCCCCGCGACTGTGGGGACTCTTCCTTGCAGTGCTTCAGGCCCTCCACCTTTGGGTTGCTAGCGCCATTCTGCTGCCGATCTGAAACAGCAAAAGCACGAGCACGAATTGGACCAAGATCTGGTGAAAGCATGCACAGGCCATACAGAAGGAATGAATCAGTCAGTTGTGGAGATACCTGGCGGCGGCGAGCGGTCAAGGAGCTCGGAGCCCTTGAGGATGTACTCGTTGCCCTGCGCGGGGAGCACCAGATCGTCGTCGGACAGGTCGTGCCACACGAAGCCGTTCTTGTAGCTCCTGGCGATGATGCGATACAAATTACAACAGGAGAGATCAGCAGGCAAAAACACACATAAAGGTTGGAATTGGATTGCGAAGTGCAGCAGGAGTACCTCTTGCCGGACCAGGAATACATGGAGGCCATGCCCTTCCCCCGCAGCACGTTGAGGCGGTTAATCACATCTGCAGCGGCAACGCCATTAACGCGAATCGCATCATCAGCTATCTAGTTGTTCGCACGCAGTTACGCACGGCGAGCGAGTTTATGGCGAAATTGGACCCCCGGAACCGGAAACGGAAGGCGGCGCCTTTATTGAAGGAGGGAGGGAGGGGAGGGATGAGTGACTGACTGCTGACCTCGCAGGTAGAGACCTTCCTCAGGGGCGGCGAGCGGCACCTCGATGAAGTGCGGGTGCTCCAGGTGGCGGTTGCGGCAGAGGTAGTACACCACGGCCACCCTCTTAGCCGCCGCCGGAGCCGGGGATGGGGCCGGGGGCGGCGACCGCGCCGGGGTCTGGTGGTCGCTCTTGCCCGGCGGCTCGACCCACACCTTGTTGCGGCCGGGGCTGGTGCCCGTGCCCGTGCCGCGCCGCCGCGCCGGCCTCCCCTCCGTCCCCGCCCCGGCTGGAGGAGCCATTCGCGGAGGGAGGCAATGGGCGCGCCGCCGCGGATCAGATCACACGGCGCTTGGCTGCCTGGGCATGGAACCCTGAGCACCGGCGGCTGGGCTGGTACGGATGGGATGGAAGAAACAAGAAAGCGAATGGGGGAAGGATATCAGTCAGTAATTAAATGGAGCAGGCGGGAGCCGGGAGCAGGGGGAGGAGGGAGCAGCACTGCGGCAGGAGAGGGGGGCAAGGCAATGCGAACACAAGAACAAGCAGAGGTGAATGAGAGAGAGAGTACGAGAGCTCAGCTGACGAGACGAGACGAGACGAGCGATTGGGATCAGCGCGCTTGCCTTATAAACAGTATTTTCCTCATCCACGAATAATATTTTTTTCTCGCTAAAATTCAGTCAACCGTAATTTCAGCCAGCCGAGCGAACAGCGGGAAGGAGACGGCGGAGGCGAGGCAGAGCAGCCGCGTAGCAGCGGCGGCGGCGGCATGTTGGGGCACGACGCGATGGCACTGTAACATGAGCCGGCCGGCCACTGTTGCTGACGAGGGGTATGGGGGCATGGCTGGGGCTCGGCTCGACCCTTTCCCCTCTTCCTCCTCGTGTCGTGTCCTCGTAGGCACCACCATCTCGCACGTCCCTCCAGCGAGGCGTCCCGAATCCGGACGGACGACAGGGAGAACTCAAGGAGAAAGGTGGACGGACCGTGACTGGACTGGAGTCGTGTTGGCGAGGACGGACCCGGCCGGGTGAAAGCGTGATGAGTGTGAGGAGGAAGACGATGGATGATGGATGACGCGATGCGAGTAGAGTGAAAAGCGAAGCGAAACTGACTGTCAGTCCACCGTCGTGCTGCTTTTGCTTTGCTTCTGGATGGATGGCTTTTTGGACGCTAACGCTTGGGTTGGGTTCTTTGCCTCGATGACAACGAGCTCCCGGAGTCCGGGGGAGGGGGACCTGGATCTCAACGACACCACGCCACCGAGCTCGATCAAGAGCAGCAGCAGCGACGAGTGGATTTGAGGCTGAGCTACCTTCTACTGCTCCTGTCACTGTTACCGGCAGTTGTACTGCGTGCTACAGTAGTACCTACGTACGTACACTACGCGCGGAGACTCAACTCCGGTGGCGATGGGAGCTGTAAATAACAATGTCCATGCCTGTGCCCAATCCCTCCATGCTATACAGCCTTCAGGTATCGTGTGGTATAGGTCTATTTGGTTTGTCACCTTAGCCCTTATTTAGTTCGCGAAATTTGGATTTTGAGGGTACTGTAGCATTTTCGTTTTTATTTGGCAAATAGTGTCCAAACATTGACTAATTAGGCTTAAAACGTTCGTCTCGTAATTTCCCACCAAAATGTGCAATTAGTTTTTCTTTTCGTCTACATTTAATGCTTCCATGCGATCAGCCGCAAAACATTCACGTCGATGCAGATCAGAAGAACATTTTGGATTTTGGGGTCCAACTAAACAAGGGCTTAAAGTCAACTTCAACTCTATACTACATCAAGGGTACGGTTGTCTGACTACGCATAGCATAAACCACTGCCACATGGGGCCAAGGCAAAGCAAAAGGCAGTAAGATGGGATAGCCGGTGGCCAATTCTCCTTTCCTTTGCTTCATGCGGTGCCTAACATCAGCATCAGCAGCAGGTAGGCCTCTCTTTACACAGTACTAGGCCGCTGGTGGGGGGAGACTACTGCATCCGCTCTCTTTAATTTGAGCTTTGCATCCCAAACCCTGCCCTTTTCACATGTGATTAAGAAGCACCCCCCCTTTAATTTAAAACTCTAGCCAGTACGTACTACATTAGTGCTGCAATGATTTGGACCCTTGCTCCTAAGCTTGGAAGCAAGTTAAAGGGCGAGCACTGAAATCTACAGTATTTTTCTCTCACAATAAATCAGCTTCAGTCAGCTTATCAGCCGACTTTAATACCAGCCAAACTAGCCCTGAGTACTTGCTTTGCCCATGTGACGAACAAGGTGTGTGCATGCACATACAATCTTAATTTCGAAAAAGATGTGCGTATGTATACGCCTGTATAATGGCTAATGAGACAAACAAACCGGAATATCAAGAAATGATTAGTCCAGTGTGTAGTTTAGATCCGAGAGAGGCACGTACGAAAGCTCTCCTGCACCTAATTTCCTGCACATGGACAGACTCTGCTAGCTTCCCTGCCGGGCCGGCGGCCGCCCCCCTTCTGTTGTACGTGTTCTGCAAGTTTTTTTTTAAAAAACACAGAAATAGAAAAACAAAATGAAAAGGATGGTGTTGTACTGTGCAAGAGTTGCCAAAGAAGATCAGTATAATTATTGTCCCAAATTTGGTGTATGTATTTGGCTCTGTAGGTTTGTAGAACTATTCCTTTTTTTTTAAGAAAATGTCGTAGTGTTTTGAGAAGATCGAAGCGACGGCATGCATCATGCAATTTATTCATCCACCGACGCCAACCGCCGAACGCATATACTACTATCTGCAAACAGGAAAGGACATGCAATTGCTTTCGTGGGCGTGTTGCTGCTTTGTGCAAGCAAGAGAAGGAATCGGATACTTGTTCACATGCTCTTGGGTTCGGCAATCAGCAGGCAGGCGTATCCTGTCACCTGTCTAGTTTAATCACGGCAAAACAGCCCAAAACTAACTTAATTATTACACTTGGTGGTAGTACTGTACATCCATCCATGTCTGTCTTGCTTCTTTTTCCTAGCATCGGAGGTGTGGTTGGTCTTGTTTAGGACTTTAGGGCTCGTTCGTCAGCGGCCGAACGGAGTACTCCAGATTTTTATACAGCTTGCTCCGTTCCACCCGGAACGTCCCGTCCCACAATATATGAACGGGGCCTTAATCATTTTGTGGTATACCGTACTACTATGTTGTTGGAGAACAGCTTTACTGAAAAGCACTGTTCGCTGATTTATTGTGAGAGAAATAATATGGTACCATAACTGATAAGCTGAAGCGAACAGGATGAGTCAGGTCAGTTGATGGAACTACCAAAACTGTACTACGGGGTTGTTTGGTTCCTGCAGAACTCCTAAAATTCCTATCACATCGAATGTTTGGACACATGCATGGAGTATTAAATATAGACTAATTATGAAACTAATTGCATAACTTTCGACTAATTTGCGAGACGAATCTTTTAAGCCTAATTAGTTTATGATTTGACACCGTAGTGGTACAGTAAACATGCGCTAATGACAGATTAATTAGTCTTAAAAAATTGTCTCGGAAAATAGCATCCATCTATGTAATTGGTTTTATAATTAATCTATATTTAATGCTCCTTATTAGTATCTAAATATTCGATGTGACATAAATTATAACACCCGTACGTATATGAGTCACTGAGTCACATGGGGGGAAGGACCGAAGGAGAACCCACTGCTTGCATTGGGACCGACTGCATATCATTGACACCAGATCGGTATTAATATTTTTTTCTTTCTCCATTTGCCTGAAACAGAATTATTTGCATTGGTTGATGAGCACGTCTTGTTGTGGCTCATCAGAACATGCTTTTTTTTGCAATACAAGTATCTATATAAGCGCTGCCATGCATATAGGACTAGTACCAACTAATGGGCATATATATAATGTAATAACACTATAATATAACAGTACTGTACAATGTTATCAGCACAAGTCAACTCTTGTGGCGCATGGTGGTAAGCATAAACAAAAGACACAAGAAGAATCGTACTGGTACTCTCAACTTCGATGCGTGTGTAGTGTCTCTAGGAGGGAAAAAAATGTGAACAACATGACATACGCTGATCACCGATGACTGCTGAATCCTGATTCAGAACTACCGAATCACGAGTATATATATAAATATATGCAGGAAATCTTCACGAATGTGTGTGTATGCATGCATGTCTCGGAATTAGCCATGAGATGATCATTAACTAGCTAGTGCATCCACCAGACAAGATTCACTTACCAATAATTTTACCGCATCTTTCTTCCTTTCTTCCTTTCGAGAAGGGAATCGCGAATACAGCTAGTGGTTACATACATATGTCGACTAGCCGTCGCGGAAGATGCGTGTCTCGTAGCTATAGCTGTTTCACCTTTCTGTGAGAGTTTTGGCCGTTGCATGAGACTATCTGTTCTCTTGCGGCGCGCGTGCATGCTTCTTGAGTTCTTGTTGCACTCGTTGGCTGCGTCCGGTGAAACTAGCAACAGCACTGTAGCACACGCAAAAGTATATGCTACTTGCTAGTATTATGTTGAGATGGTACTATGGTAGAAAAAAGATCGTTCGGTCTCAGTAGAGTGCTAATCACCTTTGATTTGGGTTAACTACAGCCTCTTCTTTAGTAGTTATCTACTCTCTCCGTCCCAAAATATAAAAAGGTTAATTTTATTCTTGTTATGAGCCAAACTTATTTAACTGTGGCTAAGTTTCTCTTAAAATCCACCATGAAATATATCTTGATTACTTGATATTATATTTAGTTATTGCATCGGTGAATTCAGTTAAACTTAGATAAAAATGACGTCCAAATAAAACCACTTACATTTTCGAACAAACGGAGAAAATTGACCTCAAATTTAGGTGTGCAGGCTTAAACACACTTCATACCATGGTGGTAATTAGTAAGAGATTAATAAGAGCTCAATCTGCAACCTAAAATCCTTACTTTTATTATTAAAATGTCAAAGATGAATTTTGAATAAAAAAGCATAATAAGCACACGAGCTTTAAGTTTACTAGAGGATAAAATTGTTATTTTAAGTTTTGTTAATAGCTCGGTTTCGTTCACTTCCCCAAACCAACATGTGTACTCGGTACATAGACATGGCTTATGAGCAGGATTTTATCAGCCGCATGGGTATTGTTGGACCTGTGTTCTAACAAGTAAAGCGAAACCACTTTGAGGTTTATAGTTAGAAAGAAAAGGAGAATGACTTCTATGATCAACTCCTATCACATTTAGGTTTTGATCCTAGGACTAGAAGCAAAGTGACAAGTGCAAGCTCATGTTAGCTAATTTTCTAATATA